CGGACGAAAAGGTGAGCGGGCAAGCCTGGGGCTGTTGCTCCCCGGGGACGCCGAGCTCTGTGCTGAGCTCAGTAGCTGCAGCAGGGAACGTCGAGGTGTGATGAGATTAACTGTCGAGCTCTGTATGAACCATAAGGGAAATGTAAATGTCCTTAGCAAGTGTCAGAGCAAATCACTGGTAACCACTGACACTTTCATGTGTTGTTTGGATAAATTGCCTCATTGTAAGTGCCACCGGTTGGCTCACACTTGCTGCCTCTGAGTAGTGGCTCCAGGGCTGCTTGTGTTGTGATGTTGCTGTGCATATCAGTTTGTTTAACTGTCTTGTTAAGGAGTTCTCTGCCCGTGGCACATTTGCTGTACTCTCCCATTAAACAGAGCTGTCATTGATGTGTTTTGATTCAAGCACTGAATTCAGCCAGGTCACAAGATCCTGCTGGGTTTGTATATAAAACATGATCCCTTGAGTGTAGACACTACAAAGGCTTGTGGTGTCAACATTTTACAAATATATATATATAAAAAAGTACCTCAACACAAGAAGGATGAGGAGCTGTTGGAGCAAGTCCAGAGGAGCCCACAAAGTTGATAAGAGAACTGGAGCATCTCCAGGCTGGGGAACCTGGAGCTGTTCAGCCTGGAGAAGAGAAGGATGTGTGGAGACCTCATAGTAGCCTATCAGTATCTGAGGCAGCTACAGTGGAGTCGGAGAGGGACTCTTTGTTAGGAGCTGCAGTGATAGGACAAGGGGTAACGGGTTCAAATTGAAGGAGGAGAAGTTTAGACTAGATATTAGGAAAAACGTTTTCACTGTGAGAGTGCCACTGGCACAGGTTTCCCAGGGAGGTAGTGGATGTTCAAAGCCAGGTTGAAGCCTTGAGCAGCCTGGTCTGGTAGGAGGTGTTCCTGCCCTGGGCAGGGGGTTGGGACTAGATGATCTGTAAGGTCCATTCCAACCCATAAAATTCCATGATTCTGTAATGCTTTCTGTGTTATGTCCTTAAGCATTTCCTGTGTAAGTGTTGCAGGTTGTCCTTGTAACACTCTCCTCACAGGCACACCTGCTCACATGCACAGAAATGCTTACCTGGGCATGTAAGCTGTAGGTGCAAGTTTGTTCTTTCCTCATAAATTTATCTAATACAGAGGTTCTAAACCAGTTGGTCTTAGTTCCTCTTTGAGTGTTGCACATTTACACCATAAACCCTTAGCTCTGAGACTCCTGGACATGTTGTGGTTCAGTTCATTGCACACCTTGCTGTGGCTGGTTACTGGTCCTGTGGGCTGCACTGGGGCTTGCTGCTTTCCGTTGTGTCGCTGTGGTTGGGGTTTTGTTAGTGCCTGGCTTGGCAGTGACAGCACAGACTTTGCTTCTGCAAGTAGTCAGTGATTATTGATGTGTTCCCTGAGGTCTGTGATGGTTTTTTTGGACAGTACCTGTTCACAGGATGAGGCTATTTCAAAGGTAGAGGTAGTAAAAATAATAGGTAGTTTTAAGACTTGAACATATATCATGGAATCATAGGCTGGTTGAGGCTGAAAGGGACCACTGGAGATGGGATCACCTAGTCCAGCCCCACTGCTAAAACAGTTTCACCTCCAGCACGTTGCACAGGTTCATGTGCAGATGGATTTTGTCTCCAGGGAAGACTCCACAGCCTTTCTGGGCAGCCTGTGCCATTAACCCTCAAAGGAAATGCTTTTCCTCATATTCAAATGGAATGTTTCAGTGTGTGCCTGTTGCCCCTTATCCTCTAGTTGGGCACCGCTGAGGAGTCTGTCCCCATCCTCTTGACACCCACCCTTCAGGTATCTGTGTGCATGATAAGACCTCCTCCAGGCTGAGCAGCCTCAGCTTCCTCAGCTTTTCACCACAAGAGAGATGCTTCAGTCCTCTCATCACCTCCACTGGACTTGCTCCAGGAGCTCCTTATTTTTCTTGTCCTGAGGAGCCCAGCACTAATCACAGCCTCCAGATGTACCTCACCAGGACAGAGTACAAGGGCAGGATCACCCCTCTAGATGTGCAGTGCTCTCCCCAATGCACCCCAGGATCCCACTGGCCTTCTAGTTCCCCAGGGCACACTCCTGGCTGAGGGACAGCTTGTCCATCAGGACCCCCAGGTCCTTCTCCTCAGAGTTGCTTTCCATCAGGTCACTTCCTGGAAGGCTAACACATTGGTCAGGCATGACTTCACCTTGGTGAATCCGTGCTGACTACTCCTGATAACCTTCTTTTCTCCCATGTGCTTAGAACCAGGATGAGCTGTTCCATCACCTTTCCAGGGGTGGAGGTGAGCCTGGCTGGCCTGTAGTTCCTGGGGTCCTCCTCCTTACCCTATTTAAAAACTGGAGTGACATTGGCTTTCCTCCAGTCCTCAGGACCTCTCCTGTTCTCCAGGATCTTCCAAAGGTGATGGAGAGTGGCTTAGCAGTAACACCTGCCATCTCCCACAGCACTTGTAGGTGCATCCCATCAGAGCCCATGGATCTGTGAGTGTCAGGTTGGACTAGTCTCTTACCCAGTCCTCCTTGACCAAGGGCAAGTCTAGAAATATCAGTACTCTTAGATAATGAAACCTTGTCCTGCTTGTAAAGGCCTATGCTCCACATACTCAAACCTCAGGGATTAATGGGTGATCAGTTAAATTCTGTTATTTTCTGGTTGAAATGGAATGTGAATGATCCAACTGTCAGTAATAAGCAGTTTAACAAGCTACAGATTAAGGAGCAGTCTCATTGCTGACCCCCATGCTGTACCTGCTCAGTCCAGTCTGTACACTTTGGAATTCAATATTCTGCATCTGTAAATGGTTGTGTGAGATGAGCTGGGAAGGAAACTCACCCACAGAATTCTGTTCATCTGTTCTCTATCCTGGAAGATTTTCCCTACTAAATATACCTGCGGGACTTCTTGTTTTGATCAGTTTTAGAATTATGCTCAATTTAGGTTCAGGTTGTGGTTGCAGTAGAGTTTATGTGAAAATCACTTATATCTTTTAGCAGGAACCAACCTTCCTGTGCAGCACGTGGCAGAGTAGGATCTGTGGGGTGTAAAAACGCACAGCAATGTATGTGAAATTGTCTTGGAGTATCATTTAAATCTCCTCCCAGTAGATTTAGTCACAACTGTTGCTTTAAGTTGACTTCTGTTCCTTCCCAGGCTGCATGTAAATTCATCAAATCCCACGTGGACTCCAGCAATGTTGAATCCTTGTTCTATGCTGCCCAGTCCATCCGGGCCCTGTCTGGCTGTGAGGTGAGTGTGGAGCCCTGAGCTCTGCAGGCAGATATTAACACAGAAGTATTTGCCTTGATATTCTTCATGGTTTTGTTTTATGCCTAACTTGTACTTGGTTTTAGTGGATAGTACTCTGTTGTGCCTTAGGTAAATAACTATGAAGGGCCTGGGAGTGCTCTACAAGGCAGAGTGTAAGGATACAACACAAGTATTTGGTCCAGAGTAATTCCAAGGGGATGTTTTTTGATTTAACACTGGTGGCTAAGAAAAAAGGCAGCGCATTTTATTGGAATTCTCAGGACCTGTGTCAATTAGAAACTCTTTGGGTGGATGACAAGCTGTTTGGATGTGAACCCTTGTGCTGGAACACTGCATAGATACAAGTGCAGACCACCCTTGCTGGGCTGGGGGGAGTTATCCAAGCCCTGCTTGTCACCAGCACCACTGGCTGCTGCACAGTGATGTGATGCCAGAGGAAAGGCAGTAGCAGGTTACCAGGATAAATCTGAATCATGGATTATCCTAATTGATAGTTGACAGCAAAACTTGGGGATTTAATTAATTAAACTAAAAGGTAATGAATGATGAAGGGATTTTTGGCAAAAGCTTTTAGTAGCTCACCAGTCAAGTGTGTTGCTCCAGGAAGGAATCAGCAGTGATGGGCTGTGTTTTTTCAAGTGTGAGTCACTGTGTTCCCTGTGTTCTTCCTCAGGTCACCATTTCAAATGAGACCAGGGAGCTGCTGCTTGCAGCTGTCAGTGAGGATTCCTCAGTCACTCAGATCTTCCATGCTGTTGGTGCCCTGAGTGGCTTTGGCCTTCCTTTAGCATCCCAGGAAGCACTGAGTGCTCTTACTGCTCGTCTTAGCAAGGAAGAAAATGTGCTGGCGTGAGTGTCTCCCACAGGAATGATTCCCTGTTGCATGTTTATCCTCTGGGCAGTTAGATTTGGGATTAAAGAGTTTAATGTTTGTAATAATGATGTAGTACAGTTTGCATTTGATGTATTTGTCCAGTTCATTATTGTCCCCTTGGGGGAATGAAAAATATGTTTTAGGGCTGTTTTCTGTGTGATGTTGGGAATGAAATTATATATTCAGTTTAGTTCAAGGATAATGGTCAGTAAAGAGGTTGTATCCCAAAGAAACCTCCTCTTAAAATGATTGACAACAAATTTTTACTTATACCCAGCCATGGTTCTGTGTCGGTTATGGCTGCAGCAGACTGGATGCACTTCCTCAGCCCTGTTGTTTGTAGGCTGGGATGCCTGTACTG